ATAAAAAACAAACAAAAAAGGCTCACTAAAGAGAAGAGATATCTCTCCCTCTGACATAACCTTCTGGAGACATATTGCAAGCATGTTTTCTTGCTATTTCTTACCCCGAGATTACCTGACAAAGTAAGTTCACTGCGTAGAAATAGAGGTTAATACTATTACGTTTGACGTAGAGCGTGGAATGAGTTGGAACGTGTATTCAGGTCACGAACATGCCAGTCATAATATCGCGGAGAATGATGAGCAGAGCGATGTTTTTGACCGAAATGCCATAGCTTTTGTTTACCTGTCACGCATGTTGGGGGTAGCTAAATGATGTTGCGATTACATATTGTGGTATGATGTGTCGTTCCCAAATCAAATGTCTCTGCATCTCTCTCTCTCCCTCTTTTGCTTTCTGTATATCTCACTTACCACTCTCTCTATCCGCTCCCTCTCTTTCTATCCTCGTCTCTCCCCCCCCCTCTCTCTCTCCTCTCTCTCTCTCTCTCTCTCTCTCTCTCTCTCTCTCTCTCTCTCTCTCGTGCTTTCTCTCTCTCTAACTATCCTTTGTCCGTTCCACTCTCTGCTTCTTTCCCGCTCTGCTTCTTTTTCTCTCTTTTTCCCCATCTCTCTTTTTCTATTTCAATTTTTTAAAAATCTCCACACAGTTATTTTCATAAATTATTTACACTACCAAGAGAGGTAATTCTTAAGTTAACACTGTAAAAAAATTATGAAAGTTATTAGCAAGAGTGAACGATAATAACTATTTCCAGCATTTTGGGTATTTCTATATTATTATATCGTTATGGTGCTGAGCAGTTTCTATAATCTTCCCCGATTCAACGGACCCACAAGAAAAGAGAAGCCATAATATCGTCATGAATATGTAAAAGAATAACACGGTCTACATCGGCTTGGAAGAAACTTGTCAAAAATGATTACAGAAACCTAGTGGATGGAACAAATAGTTGCGGAGCGTTTCCTCTGGTTTTGGAAACAACAGTTTCGAATTGGAGTCAAAAACACCAATATTGTTGTGCGTAAAATACAAATGAAAAACTTAAAAACAAAAATTAATGCAGTGCCAAGAACACTCACATAACGGTACTAAATCACCCCTGTTAATATACATACAAAATGATAATATTCGTAGCTCCCACAACTATTTCCTGTGACTCTTATTATGACTAAAATGTTTTTCTTTTTAAATGATAAAATACCCCACCCTCTAAAAAAAAAAAAAAAAACAACAAACAAAGACAAACTTGCTGCAATATAATCAAAGTAATAATAAGAACAAGATTCAGTGCAAACAATAACAGCAATACAAATAAACCAAGTGCGAGTGATAAAAGGACAGCACATTTAGGACGCCTGCACTAAACATAATATCTGGAACCAGCAATGTATCTAGAACTAGAACAGTGGTTCTTAATCAGGATGGACTCGATTGAAACCAACAGGTTCGGCGATTCAAGTGTCAGTGGTTTGATGGACGTCAAGATACACTCACTGCATGTGTAGAGTGTGTGTGTGTGTATGTGTGTGTGTGTGTGTGTGTGTGTGTGTGTGTGTGTGTGTGTGTGTGTGT